TGACATAGTATTAGAGCTGACACAATCGCAGACATTTCTGCCTTGGTGAAACCTTTTACTTTGCAGTCTAGCTTTCCACTGTAATTATTCAAATTTTGGAATTTCATGTCTATGATTTACTATTAAATTGCATCAGGCTAGGATTTGTCAAAGAAGTTGTCAACCCAAAGGTAAATTTTGACCGTTTCCAAAACTGTTACTCTATATGTTGTTCAATTTGTTGCGGACAAAACAACGTCCGCATAGTTCGAGAATATTAGTTCACTGGTAGTGTTTCAGTGTTGTAAAACATCTGTATTACAATGGGAGAAAAGTTGCATTCTGTGGACTGAGGATTCTTGCATTTTTGTGCATGGCTGCAGGGAAGGTGGTTCTAAATACTTTAGATATTTCAAGACTTTTCTGACTTCTTTCATGCTTCAGAAATTCAGCAGTTGACCAAGATCAGGTCCCCAAACTCAGATTTCAACTTCTGGCAAGGGGCTATGAGTGGTAGCTACCTGTTTTGTGAGTTTTGGTTCTGGCCAAAGTTGTAACACGAAGTGATTCCAGGATACTGTGGCTTGACATAAAAGGATTGACATGTACAGGTTTACATAATTTTTCATGTGAGTTTTCAGGCTTAGTTACTGTTATGCCTATAGTTAAGACTGTGCTACTGGATTGAGTGGCACTGATTCTTATCCTGTGCACAAATTTTTACCTATATGCAGCATGTCACAGCTCAACATGCAGCATATCTGGTCTTGTGTTATAAATGTCAAGCCTTTTAGTTCTTGTGCAGATGTAACTGCTACACGCTGCTGACCAGCCCAGCATTACATCTTAGGCAGACACAGTATGTTTGCTGCAAGACAAGTACTGCTTCTGTTGTAAGATGCCCAAACTTTGAATCCTTAGGAGTCTCTTCCAAGATGTCCCAGAAAAAAGTAAGAATTTTGGTTCATAGATGTACAGCTGAGTTAGACATTTTCTGTACAGATACACCATCTTCACATCTAGCCAGCAAACACATAATGCAGGAGCTTGTGATATTTCTGTAGATAAGATTATGAGTATGAAACACATTCTGTGCTTGTAAGGGAAGCATTAAAGGTATGTTTCATTGAACCAGACTTGTGTCTGAAGTTTTAATCATTGTAATACCAAAAAGTTAACTGTTGTAAACTTTTTTCAGCTCACTGGTAAGTCTTTTATGGTGGAGCATACTCCTTTTATATACATCCTTTTGCATTACTTAAGCACCTTATAAGCCAGCAATGAGGACAGTTAAGATGTGTGCTTCCTTCGTTGCCTGTGTAATAGCAAAGAGACTATATATTGTGGACAAAGAAATTCATTTTAATTTATGTGTCTGAGCTTTGGTTCGTAGACTAATCATGGTGTATGCACAGATTGGAGAGCGTGCATGTGTATGTTTATGTCCATAGGTACACACGAAATATATATCTGTTTGAGTTTTGGATGGATGAAAGAGTTAAAAAAAAATATTATTGCCTTTTATTTGTTATAGCTAAAAAAAAATAATCCTGTTCTTATGCAACAGGGATAAATACAGTTTATCAAATTATCTGCTCATCTTATCTAAATGAACATTTTATTAATTGTTTTTTGTGCTTGGTGAATGCCGCTGTCAGATCATGGCAACCTGGGAGTTGTTCTAAATATTCCAAAGTTATTCCTGCTCCTGTTTTTTTTCTTCATTAGAAGTGTTGACCTGTGAGAAAGAGATGTAGTTGAATAGTCATGAGTAGATCTTTCGGTCTGCTGCAGAGCCAGGTGTGAAGATGGATCTGGTTTTATCTCTATGTATCACAATCTGCTGGTTTGTTTCCCTCTGCACTATATTGTTCTAAAACTAATTCCTTACAGAACTAGGTAACTTATGAGGTCCTTTGTGATAAGTACACATAACATTGGAGACCATATATTGCAGACTGTACTCCAGGATATGAATGCTACTCCTGTACATCAGACTATATGTACACATCTATATGCATTTATAAAACTATATATTACTATCTATACTTCAAAAGTCTTAGTGACCATGCTATTTGTCCTCAAGACCCTGTTGGAAAATGGCCAGTATGGGGATGTTTGAAATGGTGATATGACATGCTATCATAAAAGCCATTTCTGCCTCTATATGTAAATTATATATGAACAAATGTACAGAATGGATGTGGATTCTGTATTGAAAAATGCAAGTTTCTCAATGTGAATACACTTCTGTTTTTCATGCTTTGAAAATCCAGGGTTAGCTTTATTTGGTTAGCTCCCAGTCTTCTCAAAGTTGACTCAATTTAAACTATCAATGTCATGTGTCTTAGCCAGTAGTAAGATACACTAGTTGGAGAAGAGGGGATATCATGTCATTCAGTAATCACATTATTTACTGAAACGATGAAGTTTCATGGAGTTACAAGTTACAGAACAATGAGCTAATGGAAAATATTTTTCTGCATCATTCTTGTTGAAAATGTCACTTCTAGAAGCCTTGATGCTGCAGTTGAAGAAAGGGGTACAGGTTGCAACAGCTGTTTATAGGTTTGTTGCAGCAGGTTTGACTGTGGTTTGGCTTGGCATTGGGGGTACTCGTGTTGGGGGGTTCTTTACAATTATTGACTGCTAGATTGAGGGCCAGTGAAATTACAAATATACACTATCCTCTCACATAGTTATTTAAATAGGTACTAATGTATATTTTGAAACTTAGGTATTGTGTTTTTAGGTCCCTGCATCCTGCAGCTAAGGTAGTGTGCCTGCCCTCCTCTTGGTACATTTGTGTATTATGAGGATCATTGAAAGCCAATTCTGATTTCAGCATCTGGATGACTGCAATACCATTTTAAAAATACTATCCAACTGCATACAGACCACAGGTGTACCATTAACTGAAGTTGAGTGCCTTTCATACTAGGGCTGCACAAATTTTTGTTTCCCTTCTTGCGGATGCACTCACTTTCTTGATTACCTTTAATGTTCATGTGTTGTGTATATGGGCTTGTTGGCAGCTGAGTAACATGCATGTTGTCAGATATAGGAGTTAAAATATTGCCTGTATCATACTCAATACATTTGTTACATTGATGCATATGTCTTGAGGACTGGATCTTGCTAAACAGAGAGATACATCACACTCTGTCATTTCACATAGCAAAAATAAACTTTTTAGTTTTGAAACAGCTAGCTGTCATGGTTTGACTCAGGATCGACAACTGAACCAGCGACAACAATGCTCTTGATCCCCTCCCCTTCCTTCCCATGTAGGGAAGGAGAGAGAGAATTAAGAGAGACTTTCCATATTGAAAACTAAACTAGGCAGCTTTCATTACATACCAATGCTAAAATAAAATATGTACAATTTTATACAGATGTGCTCAGGAATGTGCAAAACCCTATTGCCTCCCCCAACCCCCAGCAACTCCCACAGCATCTCCTGAGCTGTGAGCAGTCCCAAAATGTCCTGAAGCGCTGCTGGAGAGAGTGACAGAGCAGACAGGAGCTGAAGGGAGAGTTACAAATGGACAAGCCTGGAGGTCAGCAGTGATGGACAGATAGAGTCCTCCCCAGATGCCACCCATGGACAGAAGAGAAGGGAAGAAGTAGCAGCAAGGAAGTTGACTTCCGTGATCCCTGACCTTACACCAAGCTTATGTAGATATATGGAATGGAATACTTCGGTCAATTTTGCTGTCCATCTGGTCCATTCCTCCCTACAGATAGGACTCTTCTGTTCCTGCAGCATTTGAGGTCACAGTTTCAACAAGTAGAGCAAAGTGCCCTTGGAAGTCCTGGCAGTACCATAAACGTTCCAGTGTTATCAGTCCACTAGCTGGAAAACTTCCTGGTAGTTAAAAGAGCTTTCTAAAGGAAAAAAAAAAAATCAGTAAAAGAAAATGGCTTCATCCTGGCTTAAACCAGGTCACCAGCTAAGCATATTCTGCCTTAGGCTGAAGGCCTGTGTGTGCACCTGTTCAATGAGGGTGTAGATGTGGTAGATAAGGTACATGGGTTTGCTGTACATCCTCCCAAGGCTCTGCAGTCTGTGCCCTTAGCTCTTACTGACTTGGAACTCAGATTTACGTTTCTATATGCATCTTCCATGAGCCTATCTAATTCATAATCAACACACATAATCTAGCTTATTTTATTCTGTGAAGATTTCACCTCAGATCTTCTGGCCATTAAATTATGATTTATGAATAGTATGCTTTATCTGGGGGAAACTGTGATAGCAGAGAATATCAGTATATTACAGAAATTATCCAAATGGATAAACAGCACAAATTGTAGTCCTTCAAATATCTATCAAAACTTGCTGCAGCCTGTATCTCTGAAAAATGGGAAATATATGTAGAAGTGGCAGCCGTGTGCAACTTGATTTGACTCTTAGTAGCATTGAAAGAATTTTAGTTGAGAGGTGACAAGGCAGTGTTAGCTGACGGATTTGTTCAAGCTGATTTGAAATGGTTATTCTATATCCTATGTGATGCTAAGGCTCATAAATCTCTTTCTCTGGATAAATAACAGAATAAACTTATTCTTGTGTGCTGGATGTCCAAACCTGGCATATATCTGTTGTGAGCACCGTTGAAGCTACAAAACTTCTACTCAAGACCCAAAACAGAAGAGGAGTTTGATGGAATCCATCTCCTCTTTTAGGTCCTTGTTGTTTACTATGTTTGCAGATTGATTTGAGTGGTAAAGGATGTCTGGAAAGCAGAGGGTAGTCCTTTGACTATGAGCACATCTTTTCTATACTCAGGAAGTGATCATGTTAAGTGTATGAAGATAATTCACTGTCTTCTCCAAATTTCTGAAAACCTAAAACTTGATTATTTTTTTCCCTTTTCTATTTTATCGGTATAAGTAATAGTGTTCTGAATCTGAGTTTCAAGTTTTATACAAATGCTCACATTTACAATTTTTTAGAAATAGTCTTCTGAAAATATTTTATTCCATGAAGTGTTTTCTCACTCTGCTTACTTTGCAATTAGCTGACCAAACTTGAAAAACAGCAACAAAGAAAAGAGAAGACCAGAACCAAGGTGCCCTCTGAGTCAAGTAGAGAAAGAAATGCTCCCCGTAACAAGGATGACCCCAGTGCAAGCAGTGGAGCAGAAGGAGATGTGTCTTCAGAAAGAGAGCCTTAGCTCATCCGAAGCAGGTCTCAGGTTTGTCTTTTCCACTTCTCCGTAAAGCTGTGTCCCTGTGCTCGGCAGTCTCTAACCCTGGGTGCTTTACTGAAGCAGTACATGCAGAGTTGCATTAGAAATGCTGAAAGGTGAAATTCTGGTAACTTCTGGTGGGAAACCTCTGCTTCTATCTGCATTCTGCACATTAGAATGTAGAACTGAATGAAACCTCTTCCCAGCTATGTGCTAGGCTGAAGGTGTGTATCTGTGAGTCTGGCCCAGTACAACTGTTTCCAGGTTGACCTCAGGAAATCTAAAATTTTGGCCTTATAACACAGCAGTGACTTAACTCAAAATCCTACTTTGTATTCTTCAGAGCAGAGATACATGGCAGAGTTTCTCTCTGCCTTTGCCTAGCAGGCAGGTCACTCTGGAACAGCCTACACCATTTGTAATACCTAAATAACACAGTCCACAGCAGTGGAAATGAGAAACATTTCCGAAGCTGGAGACAGACCAGAACTCCAACTTAGGATCATGGTTCCTACTCCTCCCTCTTCAGTTTGTTCATTCCCTAGAGGACTTGAGAACAGGCTATTCATATACCTTCATCATCTATTGAGAATGTAAGGCCAGTCAGTGAGAGCCAAACTTGCTGCTTGAATTCAGAATCAGATCTAGGATTTCCTCTCCTTCATTCAGGCTCTTGAGCTGCAGGACATGCCTGGAAATGAATGAATGGAATTAGACTGAATATAGACCTGAATCCTTTGTTGTGGATTATTTATATATCTAGATATGTATTTATCATACTCTTCCAGTCAGTTTTAAGACTTCAGGACACAGCTTTAATTGCTTTCCTTCCCCTTTCCCCCCCCCAACACTCCCCCTGTGGCCGCAAAGCTATATTCCTCCAAACATATCGAAATTCTCAAAAATATGTTATTTCCTTCATCTGCACACTGAAGTCTTAAGCTGGCTATGAAGTTTAATTATTAACAGCTTTGCAAAGTTAAGATCTAAGTTTCTCTTGTTTTGGCATCCTAGTGTTCAGTCCGGCTTATGGTTTCTACAATTCAAGATCATGCTTTGCTCAGGAAATGTGTTTTTTTTAATCTGTTAATTCCCTGGTGGTCGAACATTGGAGGATGTTTTGTTTTACAAAAGTTTACATGATCAGTGTGTTACTAATAAAAATGAATTTGCATAAGGCATTAAATAGATTTCTGGAAATATCTTAATTTGGTTTGGATCCACCTGGAACTGGAAAATGGATCAAAGAGGCTTTCAAGTCCACAGGCTTTTTTTTGCTGGCCTCATGGAATGAAGCTTCAAGACTGGTGTGAAATAGTTCTGTTCATTATTTGGCTTACAGTCAAAAGAGTGTTGTCATGTATGTCATGTATGATAATTAAACTGCTGAAGTCTTCAGCTTTATGCTCTGTTCACCTTCCTGTTTTAATGTTGGAGATGAGCAGGCACATTGGGAAGCAGAACATGTTCTTAGAAAATAAAATGGGGCTGTACTATTTCTCAGAAACTTGATCTTGCAGCTGTGCTACAGTGATACAAAGTTTCCCCCCACTTGTTTCTGGATTATGTGTTGAAATAAGAACATTTTAGAGAACAGGAGTTTGCAGGCCTTCTAGAGTGCTTTGGTTAGTCTGACTTTTCCATTAGCATTTAAGATTTTAGAGAGCTGAACATTTCTAAAATGTGATATACTGATAACCTAGCATTAATTTTCATGCTGTGACAATAAGTAAAGATAATTTTTTCTATGGGATTTGAAGGAATCATACTCTATTTCTACTCCCAGTAATATTCCTGTTTGTTTGCCTTCCACAGTTTCTCATATAAAAGCTACACTGGATTCTTGAAGAGACCAGACATTCACCTCAGCACCAGTCTTCAGTAACTTTGGAAAAGAATGGAGAACAGAACTAAGATTTTAGAAACCTGTACCATTCTGTATTGAAACAACCAAAGCAGTGCTATCAGATTCAGCTGTTGATGTGTAGTATCAGTAGTAAAAAGGACTCGTAACATTTTTGTGTATGTGTTTTCACATGACTGCGGAATAAGGGGTCACTGTAGGCATATTGTAGCAGAACATTCACTATCAGTACATAAGCTCCATTTAAAAAATAAATCAGGGTTTTTCCTTAAACTTACACTTGAATTCTGAAAATTATCCAAGCAGGCTTGCATTTTGATTCTCACTCTTATGGTGTCATGTGCTATCTGTTTCCATGGCAGCATGTAGATCTGTGCTGTGTATATTTTGGTATATTGTTCAGCTTTAACACCAGGTTAGGCAGTCCAGTATTTCTGCATGGATTAAGTTATTAAAAGGAAAGATCAGCTGCTAGTTGTTTATCACGTGGAATACATCTGTCTTGTAAACTTTTTTAAGAACAGAAAAGACTTTATTAAACAAATTAGACTATCTGAGTGCCTGTTGGTGTTTGTGTGTTGCATTCACTCAGATACAGCCATGTCTGTAGCACTGTGAGTGACACAGAGGCAGACTAATAAGCCAAGAAATGCCAACTAATGTAACCTCTCCTTTGCAAGCTTGGAAGTCATCTTGCTGTCCGGAAATCTTTGCTCTTCCCAATACATCTAAGTCCTTTAGGTACTTTATGGTGGCTATCAAAATGCTGCTGCAGCAGCCGCTCCACATACTGCTTCATTTCCCTGCTGACTTTTCTGTCAGATTCATCAGGGGCAGAATAGCATTTGAAAGCTGTGAGCAGATGAGAAGAGTGGAGAAGCAGCTGCAAAACTGCTCTCTTGTGGCAGCTGCAAAACTGCCACTGCCTGTGGGTGTTAAAGCCAAGGAAGTTTCAAGGGAAGTGAAAGTTACACCTTTAACTCTGTCAGATGATGGCAATACCTTTTATACAGGATATTCTTCAGACCTGTCTGGGCTTTATGGTCTTCATTAGCCATGTGCCATGGCCACCATCAGAGCCACTGTGTGACTGTCCTTACCTGATTATAGGGCTAACTCACTGGTGATCATTGTTCTTAATCCAAATGTATGTAATATTTACAATGCTGCAGAGTCCGTAACCACTGTGGGTTTTTGGTTTTGTTTTAAACTTTTCCCTTGTAGCTTTTGCTTCTAGGCTGCTTGTTCAGTAACATATCACTAATACCAAAACAGGAGAGGTTCAGTACTGCATCCTGACATGGCTTTTTAAAACACATGAAGCTTAACTAAGTATTTTGCAAGCCACACACCTAGCATTTAAACATGAATGGTGAGTAGCCAGGATATGCTGAAATGCTACACTTGGTCTTGCCTGTAATAATTACATAATTTTTAATCTGGCCATTGTATGTAATTTACTTTGCTTGAAGTCACAGCCTTGTCACAAACGGTACTTTTTCACCCTTAGGTTTACAAGTTGTGTCCTGTCCTGTCCTTTGAGAGTCTCCCTCGCCTCGACCTGCAGCCTGATAAACTGTTGTCAGTTAGTGCTTAACTGGCTGCAAAGTGCAAATACAGTTAGGAATATAGCAGAGTGCCTACCTCAGGTGCTGACATGGCTGTTGAAGGAGCCCTTAGAGCTATCTCATCTAGTTTACATGATGTGCTTTCTCAGCATCTTTGAAATGTCGTCTTCTGCTTTGCAATTTGTTCTGAAGAAGGTAAGGACACGAAGAAAGTCCTACAGCCTCTATGCAGCCTGCAAGGTAAGTTGGTAGAAGGTAAGCTACAAAGGAAGAGAGATGTAGAAGTATCATAAAAATGTCTCAGAGGAGGAAAGAGGTGATACTCCAGCTGTGTTCAAGCAGAGATAAAATAGCAAAGAATAGCTGTTTGCCAAAGGTGGGGGTGATCTGGTGCTTTACCTAGGAAAGCTCTGAGTTCTGTACAGATGCTTCCTGTTTCTATGCCCAGGATATTTTCATGCACTGTGATTTATTTCAGGATTCAAGACAGATTCAGCCAGCCAAATGCACTTTGTTAAAAGTGCTGTTTTAACAGTTATTGCCCTATTCTACTGGCAGCAAAGCCTGGGAAAGGACCCTTTTCTAAGTCCTGTTGGCTGTTTGTGAAATACGTTAGATTTTTAGTTGGAAGGAATGTTTCTTCCTATATTCTGAAAATTACCTTATTTAGCAAAAAGTTGTGTTCACTTTATGTTTATAAAATATTAAGGAATAATACTAATGAATGATAAGTTGCTGTTCCTTATTCTCCTTTCTAGAGATTTAGACTTCAAGGCTTGTCTCTGTTTCCCTGTCCCAGCTCACAGAGTGGTTTTGCCAGTTTTCTTATTGTGATTTATGGACTGGAGTCAGAAGATGACCATCTAAGAGGGCCACGGACAATATTTGCTAGCTGTAATAAAGCAGCTTCAAATTCAAAGACCCTGCAATGTCTGATCTCCAGCTGCGTGCTGCCTGCCCTCAAATT